TGGGAGAATGCTCAGTTCTGTTCCAGTGCATGGGAGAATGTTCTGTTCCAGTGCTTGGGAGAATGCTCAGTTCCAGTGCATGGGAGAATGTTCAGCCCCCTGGTCTTTCTCCACTAGACTCTCCCCACACCAGGGCAGGATAGCCACAAGGGTCTCCAGACATTGACAAATGGCCCCTGGGATCCAAAAACACACTCCCCCCTCCCCCCATCCCAGCTGCGGTGAAACCACTGCCCAAGAGTGAATAAAGAATTTATTCTGGAAGGCCATTCCAGGAGCCCTGGGGGTGTAGTGGTTATGCTTTGAGTTGCAAACAGCAAGGGCAGTAGTTTGAAACCACCAGCCTTTCTGCAGAACTTTTCTGCTCCCATTACGAGTCAGTCTTGGAAACCCACGGGAGCAGTTCTACTCTGTTCTGTAGGGTCGCTATGAGTCGTAAAGAAGTTTTGACGAGGGGTGTCTGGCTCAAGCCATGGTATTCCAATCACCCCATCTGCATGTGAAAGTTGGACATTGAGTAAGAAAGAGTAAAGGATCGATGCATGTGATGTTGGTGCTGGGAGAATACTGACAGTGCCATGGACTGTGAACAAACAAACACATCTGTCCTGGAAGAAGTACAGCCGGAATGCTCCTCGGAGGCAAGGGTGGAGAGACCTGGTCTCACGGACTTTGGACGTGTCATCAGGAGAGACCAGTTCCGGAAAAGGAGATCAAGCTTGGTATGTTCTCTTACACTGAGCCCTGCCTGGCAGGTTCTGGACATTTCCATCCCCCCAAACTTGGGTCTCACCTTATCAAATGCTCCACAGCATCTCTGCGAGGCTAAGTAGGCACCCCAGGCTCTGGCCTGAATGGCTGCCCACTGCTGTCTCCTTCCTGTGGGGCTATATGGTCAGTGCTGTCCGTCCATCCTGGTCACCTCTGCCTGAGACCACAGGCTCCGCCCGCCTGTCCTGAATCACACATCCTGTGATGGGGCCTGGCAGCTGCTGTCCCTCTATGGTGTTCCCTGGTCATTCGTTGGGAAGTACCACGCCTTTCTTCCTGGTCTCAGCCTGGAAGCTATGCTGAACACCAATGACCTTGCTGGTGTGAGAGGCAGGCCCTCTGTGAGGCAGACTGACCAGTCCATGACGGCCAACACAGGGTGGGCGATGGTGAGGGCGGGAAGGGCTTTCTTCTGCTGTGTGCTAGGGTGGGCAGCATGATGGGGAGATAAAGGGGTCACACCAGGTGAGTGACAGTGAGGATTGGTGGGCAGCCTGAAGGGGAGATACAGGAGGTTATAGGTGGACCTCTGACCTGCTCATGGTTATTCTGACATGGTTGGCACCTCTGAGCAAAAGGGCTGACTGCTGGGCCAGCCTCACGGGGCACCCCCCCCTCCACTGAGCCCAGGGGCCAGCCCCCAGCGGGGGCTGCTCGAAAACCGGTGGTGAGAGCATGTCTGTCTGTCTGTCTGTCTGTTGGCCTAGAGCATCCACCTCTGGAAGCCGCATATGGAAGGAAGCACCAGCCCAAGAGGAAATGCGGCAGATTTATTAATCATTATGATTCTGGAGATTCACAATCGATAAACTCATTAAAAGACAGCATTTTGTGATCAGTGACCCAGCGCCCAAAGACACATGGAAGAGTGTGAAGCACGCTTACGCTGCATCTTTGGCCGGGGCCTAGCTGGAAAGCGAGAGAGGAAGGTGGTCTAGGTGTCTGCAGCAGAGGGGCAGGGGATGCACGGCTAGCTCGGCCAGGCCTGACACTCGGTGTCGGTGCACCAAGAGCAGAGACAACAGCCTCTGGACCCATAGCCACATCGACTGCTGACACTGCGGGGCGGCGGGAGGTGGGTGGCCGAGGCGCGAGCCCACTCGTGACTCTACAGCTGTCTGGCAAAGGCTGAGTGCAGCCTCTGCTCACAGGAGCCCTGCCGACCGGCAGCAGAGACCGGTGGGCAGCGGCCGGCTCTGGGCGGTGTGGAGAGGTGAGCCATGCCCGGGCAGGCACACTGCAGAATGTGGCAGGAGGCCCGGGAGAATGTGCAGGCAGGCTGACCCACATGTTTCGGTACTGGGACTGCAGGAATGTGGACTTGGAGCTGCCGAGGGAGACCAGGGCACGCCCTGGCTGCAAACAGCGCACCCCACCCACCAGAGCCCCGCGCATCTTCGGAGAAGCCTGGCACACGGTCCCGCGCGGGGTCTCCCAGAATTGACTCCGCGGCAACTGGCTTTTTAAGAGATTTTTCTGCCCCCAATTTTTCTGTGGATGAAGACCCAGGCGGCAAAGGCCCTTGCTGATCCTCCCACGGACCGACAGGCCTGGGGTCCCCTCCATTGCTGGGAGCCCCCCGGGAATTTAAGGCAAGGGGCGGGGCTTTGCTTTGTCTTGGATTTCCGGGCTGGCGGTTGGGTGGGCGGCGCGCGTCTCGGGGTTACCGCGGAGGGTGGGGCGCCTGCCCCATCTTCACTTCCGTGGCTGCTGGATGTGCTGACTCCGGGGGGTCGGGGGGTGCTTGTCTATGGAGGCGTGCGGCTTCTGGTGGGCCACCTGCGCGGCCGCCGGGGGGAAGTCCTTGTCACCCTGCGGAGACATGCACACAGGCCTTCAGCTCTGGGGCGCTAAGGGAGCCTAGGCTGCCTGGGGGTCGGGGCGGGGGCGGGACCAGCACCCCGGCCCAGGCGGGGCAGCCACAAGCCTCTGGACGGAACTGGCCGCTGATGTGACTCTTTCTCCACGAGGTGTAGCGGCCATCTGGCTTAGGGACAACAGTCCAACCTAACGCTCCAAAGGCGCCTGGAGGCCGTGGCTGGGCAGGGGTGGGGCTGTGCGGGGCGGCCTTCTCCCCGTGGGAATGGCCTCTGGGCTCGCTGTGCTGGGCGGGGCACCGGGCTGGTCGAACCCAGCCACAGGCCCACGGCTCCCGAGCAGCAGAGGGGCCCGTCGTTTTCGCACAGCAGCCCCGAAGCCCCGGAGCCCCCAGCTCGGAGCCGGGGCGGGGCTGCGGAGCCTCCAGATAGCAAAGGCAACGAACACACTGTCGGAGAGTTGGCCCACAGCGCCCCTGGAGGGCAGCAGTGGAACTGCCCACCGGCATCCCCAGGCTGTGTGGGGCGCCCTGGAGGCGTAGTGGTTACGCTTAGGGGAGAAAGAGGCTTTCCTCTTCATAAAGAGTTACAGCTTCCGAAACTCATCAGGGCAGTTCCAGCCGATCCCAGAGGGTCACTATGAGTTGGCATACAGACTTGAATGCAGGGGAGTTTTATTTATTTATTTTGAAACCTGGGCAGACTGCCACGTGTTTCTCCAGTGGACACTTGGTAAATTCCGGTGGGTCTGACTGCTGGTCTTTCCCATAGCAGCTGTGCGCCTAACTGGTGCACCCCAGGGCTCTTCTCTGAAGGTAAACGGTTAACAAACGCCATAAGTTTGGGCCAGGGGTGGGCATTCGTTTTTTGCAGAGGTCCAGATTTTAGGGTCATCCTGTCTTTCCCATCTCAGCCCCAGAAATGCATGCAGGTGACACGGGAATGACCTGGCAGCCGCATCCCAGTAAAACTGCTCCCAGATGTGGAAAGCTGAGTTTAGTTTCATTCTCTTTTGACTGTTACCCCCACCCCAATTTATAAATGCATCACATCTGTAGATCGTGGGCCACGGAGACTCCCTTTGGCCTTTGGCCTTTAGTTTGAGGACCCCGGGTTACTATAGAATGAGCCCGAGCGGCAGTGTTTACACATTGGACTCTGTGAGGTCACCAGTTCAAAACCACCAGCTGCTCTGTAGGAGAAAGATGAGGCTTTCTACTCTCATAGTTAATAGTCTTGGAAACCCATGGGGGCAGTTCTATCCTGTCCTCTAGAGTTGCTATGAGATGAAATAGACTCAATGGCAGATTTTTTGGGGGGTGGCAGGAGCAGTTAGTTCAAATATAGGGTGAGGTGGAAGAAAAGGCAGGCAGTTTGCAGTTCCAAGGGGGTTATTATGACTCAGCCCAGCAGCAGGCCCCGCAGGTGACTCCTCATTAAATGCCTGCCTACGGAAATGAAACCGAGAAAGCCCCTATCTGCTTGCCCTGAGTGGCATGAATGCCAAACTGTGAAGTGGCCTTACATGCTGGGCACCAGGGGCTCCCAGCCAGCTCTGATCCTAGGCCTTGTACCCACTCCCCTCCACAAAGGCAGGGCACTTACCCGGGCAATGACGCCGGAAATGAACACAGTTGGCTTCGGGGGGCTGGAAAACAAGAAAGGAAAATGCCCTAACACAACGGTTGCAAAGGGGCGTGCGGCCTAGGGGTCTTGGCAAGGTTGGCAACAGTGGCCGTTCTGGCTTCTTTGAGGGAAGGGGTACATGGTGGAGACGGGTGATGGAATCACCTGGTGGGGGGGCTGGTGTCCTGTGAAGCCCTCTACTCCTGAGGTCAGCCCAGACAAGTGGGGTACAGGTTTGCTGAAACTCGGTTCCTTCTTGGCGCAGGAGTATTTTTGTTTAATCCTCAATTAAACAAGGGGCAGGCTGTGTCCAGTGTGTGTGATCACCACAGAGGCTTCCCTGGGGGGCAGGGGTATGCCCCTGCCCAGCCTCGCCGCCCCCCCCCCCAGAGCCATCCAAGTGCCTAAGGGGGCGCCGCTAACTCCCTGTCACCCTGCAGACCCTCCTGAGCTCACCGAGGGTGGAGTGTGGCACCAACCTGAGGTGAGGTCACCAGACACCAAGAACTTAGACCGCCTGCAGGTGGGCCCTCCGAAGTGCCGGGCTGTGGACCCAATACACGTTGGCTTCCTTGTGAAATGCCCCATTCTCCTGTCTTGTTGTTTGTATCCTGCTGCCTGAGCAGGGTAGGTTGGGGGTGTGCCCCCAGGTGGGCCGGCACTCGAGTCACTGGGAGGCCAGAGCCGGTTCACAATATGGAGACACAGCCAGGGGCAGTGCCCGAGGGGGTGCCAGGGCACACAGTGACCAGAGAGGAGGGCAGGGGCAGCAAGCTTCCCCAGGAGCAGGGCCTGGGCATCTCGAGATACAAAATAGGAGGGGAAGGATGACACTCTCCTTGATAACACTGGAAGGCGCTGGACCTTGCATTTATGTTGGGGGGGGAGAGGAAGGAGTAGATACTTCTCTTATCACGTGGATGGGCAGGGCTGAAGGAGGTCCCCCAGTGCTGTGAGGGGCAGGTGGGCTGGAGGTGGTCCCACGGTCTGGCTGGCAGGCAGTCTTCACCACACCTCCTGCCCTCAACCTCATCCCCCCAGCCTCCCGAGTGAGTCACCCAGCTTCGCTGAAGCCCAGGGTCCTTTTAAGGACCACCAGAGCCTCAGCTTTGCTTGGCTGCAGGCAGAGTTCCAACTCCCCAGGACCTTCCCGGATCTGCTTGCATCCAGAGGAAGGGAGAAAAAGCCCCAAACCCTCACGGGATGCCGGGAACTTAATGAGGCCAAGCCACACGGACTCACTGAGCTGCTCAGACTAGCCCTTGGCTGTATTGTTGGTTTTATACAGGGTAAGTAGGAGGTGGAGTAAGATTTATTATTATTATTTTTTTTATAGCAGACAGGCAGAGGCATGAGGGCAGGTCAAGGTGAAGACCCCTCAGCCCAGCTTAGATTTTTCTTTTTCAAGACCTTTTACTCAGGGCCCTCGCCAGGCTGGGACAGCTGGCAGGGCAGGGCCGAGTGTACACGGTCTGCCCAGGCGGCCTGTGACATACAGGGTTTCTTCCAGGGCCTGCGGCCCATTCCACTGGCAGTGGTCTTACAAGACAGCAGGCCCACAGGGGCCCCTACTCGGCTTTCTCCTGCGGAGCAGCTGCAGAGCTTCACACTGCCAATCTCTCCGTTAGCAGCCACCTGCTGACCTACTGTGCTGGCAGGCTCCTTGGGGCCTGGTCAGACAGTTCACAGATAGGATTGAGAGCCCGGTGAAGTGGGCTACCGTAAGGTCAGCAGTTGGGAACCACCAGCTGACTTAGGGACAAAGATGAGGCTTCCTGCCCCTCAAGAGTTAAGTCTTGGAAAATTCACAAGGGCAGTGCTACCCTGCCCTCTAGGGTCGCTATGGACTTGGGGCAGTAAGTGCCAGTGAGTCTGGACAGGGAAGCATCCTGATCTCAGATGCCATCACGTGTTGGCATGGAGATGGAACAAGGTCCCGAGAGCAAGGAGGAGTGGTCCTGTCACCCCGCACATGCCCGGGGGTGGGGCTCTGGGTGTTCTCAAACTCGCTGGGCTGCTCAGGCCATCCTAGCTGGTTCAGTGGGAGCTGCTGGGGACACTGCAGAAGCCCCTCTGGCTCTGGTCAGCTCCAGGCTGAGACTCTAGTCGCCTCCAAGAGTGCGTCCCCTGTCCCACCAAAGTGGGCTTTAAAAGCCCAGCAAGTTTGGCTGGCAACACCAGAGCCAGTGTCTTTGTAGCTGGGAACAGTGTCTATTTGGTGTTGGCCAATCAGTCGGGGTCTTCTGGCCTAGAGTCCCCTAAAAGGGGTGTTCTCTCCCCTGGGCATCTACTCTAGGTAGACCTGGCAGCGGCCTCTTCACACAGTGTCCAGCAGCAATGCCGCTTCTCTGAGGGTCCTTGTGGGCAGTGCTTCTGCAGCTGTGCAGGTGCTGCCCAGGGAGGCTGCACATCACCGGGCATTCTATTTGCCAAGCAAAGATGTTTCCGAAGCACCTGGCAATGGGCAGGCGCTCAGAGAACAAACCTCGCAGACAGAAGCTGGCAGAGAGCCTGCCTGCAGAAGCAGTGCGGCTCAGTACAGGCATTTTAAATTCCATCAGGACTCCGGGGTGGGTCTAACCTACATTTCTCAGATTCTCCAAGCTGGGCCGGCGGCTTTGAGGATTTATCTAATCTGATGAAAACAGATGTTGTTTTGAAGAAGCAACAGGCCTCTCTCCCAGGAAATGGAATGGTGAACACAGCCCCCCCATGCTTGTCTGATTGGATCACCCCCCACCCCCACTTCGGTGTGAGCAAACTGCATGCAAGGCAGAAGGGGCCAGATGGCGGCCCCAACCCATCTGCCAAGCACCCGACCGAGTGGGTCTGCGTGTGGCTGTGATGTTAGCTGCGGTGCCACTGGCACGTCAGACATCAGCAGGATCAGCCATGGTGGGCAGGGCTCAGCCCAGTGCCCAGTCGGTGGCAGACTAAGAAGAAAGGCCTGGTGACCAACGTGTGAAAACCCTGTGCACAGCAACAGCTCGGAAAGGGCACCTTCGATGGGATGGTGAGCAGCATGGCCTCAAGTTCACCAACGGCCAGGGAGGTGGTGCAGGCCTGGGCAGTGTGTCCTTCTAGCCACAGGTCCCCATGACTTGGAACCAGCTTAACGTTAACCCTCCACCCCCATCCCAGTCCTGGGCCACTTCCTGACCTTCAGCTGTGTTGCCCACCGCCCCACTCCCCCCAGCTGTGTGGGCCTCTCTTCTCCCATCTTTAATCCAGGACTGGAAGCTTCTGAAGACATCAGTCTACTGCCTACACTGACCACTCTGCCCGCTCCTCTCCAAGTCCCTGGCGGGAACAGAGTGGGCCTGGTCGGGCACCAGGAGCCCTGGAGGCCACGTGGGAACATGTTGGGTTGCTAACAGTAAGGTCAACAGTTCCAAACCACCAGACGCTCTTCAGGAGGAAGGCAAGGCTTTCTACTCCCATGAAGAGTTACAGTCTTAGAAACTCACAGGGGCAGTTCTACCCTGTCCTGTAGGGTGGCTGTGAGTCAGTATCAACTTGATGTCAGTGGGTTTGAGTTGGTTTGACTTGGGTGCTGTACTGGGTAAGTGGCTGGCTGCTAACTGCCATGTCTGAGGTTCATATCCACCCAGCCACTCCTTAGGAGAAAGACCAGGCTTTCTATTCCTGTAAAGAGTTACAGTCTTGGAAATGCACGCGGGCAGTTCTACCCCGTCCTACAACAGGGTCGCTGTGAATTGGAATCAACTCAACCACACAGCAGCTGCAGCACCACCAAGTGCTACCACATGGGACATTTAGGGATGGGTGTGCGTGCACATGCACACAGACACGCCAGCACACTACAAACACACCTGGCCCTGTACAGCGAAGCACAGTAGCAGCCCGACATTCGGGGTGAGCAGTAAGCCACAGCTCCCTTCCCGTGCCAGCACCCTGGACCTGATTCCAGGAGCCCCGCTTCAGGTGCAATCTACCAAAGCTCTCCTGACACGCGCCCTGCCAGCCTCAGAGGGAGCTGTTCACAGAGGGGATGGGTCACTGCACTGGCTCTTTTCTGAGGTGGGAGAATGACCTCAGATAGAAACAGCTGTTCTGACTGGCCACTCGGAAGGACCAGGCATGGGGGTGGGCAGCCCTGGACCCTTCATGCGGTGTCCCTGTTTCTCGGACAGGGGAATGGCCCATAGAGAGATGCACCCACATGTTCAACGGTGCCACAGAAAGCAGGTGGCTGGGGTTGGGTTTGGACTCGGCTGTGCAGACAGGGGGCTCGGCTCCTGGCCCACCCTGGCTTCGGAGATGAGCATGTGGCCAGGCAGCCTCTATTTTGGGTTCTGTCTCCAGTTTCAGAGGCAGAGTTTTAAAGTAAGTCATCTACATGCACACGGGTGCCCTTCCCCAGCCAGACCGCACTGTAGATTCAAACCTGTCCACAAGTTCCTTCTAACTTGATCCTGGGTTTTTGGGCAAAGGACCATTTGGCTCTGCAGCACGAAGTGTGTGAGCGCACACTGTGGCCGCCCTTGATGGGCCTATGCAGGCCCTTCCTCCACGGTCAGGGGATGAGCCGGCAGTCTGAGAGGCTGGACCCCATGTGCGGGGGGATGGGGGCAGAGCAGAGCCTGGCGGGGCCTGGGTTCCTGGGCATGCAGGTCAAGGCTGTGTATAGGTGACTGTCCCACCAGCCAGACATATCGCTCCTGCCCCCCCACCCTTTCGAAATAAAGCCCTGAGAAGGCTTCAAAGTGTCCCTGGGGTTACACTGCGGCCCAGCAGAGAATGGTTCTGACACCCGGTGTTTGCTCAGACCCTGGCTCGGCTGATGACCTCTCTGAGGTGACCGTCAGGAGCCCTGGTGGCCTCCGTAGTGCGTTGTATGTGGGCTGCTAACTGCAAGGCTTCTCTGCGGGAGGAAGGTGAAGCTTTCTGCCCCGTAAAGAGTTACAGTCTTGGAATCACACAGGGGCAGTTCTACCCTGTCCTGGCACCCTGAGTTGGAGTGACTCTATGGCAGGGAGTGACAGGTGACAGTCATGTCAC